AGACCTCTTCTTTCCCCCTCTCTGGAATTGTTATTTTGTTTGCACTATTACTGAATCTTAGGTAATAAGTAATAACCCTTGTTACGTTGTTGTTGTTGCATTACTCACAGTATGTTACATTTTATCCATTGTCCACAGTTTTAATTAACATAACCTTTTCGTACCACGTCCAATTCATGGGGTAGTATTAACTTGTATGTTTTCAATAGCTTCAGTTATGTATGATCGCACTATTAGTCCACGTTCACAATACAGTTCCACTTAGCAGTCATATACACACACACACACACACATAATCCTATTTTTACATTTAAAACCCTTTTAAAATAGAGCTACGTTTGTGTCTAGAATACAGTTAGCCTAGCACTGTTTGGCCTGTAAGATTTCTGAATATGATATTTAGAGAGGAGAGATACTTGGTTCGTCATGTATTATGTAACTCTCTAGTTTGCTCATCAGTTCATTTTTATTAATATTTTTCTTATAATACTGAAGTGAGTTATCCAGGAGTTTGTGTAGAAATACTGAATTTGTTGATCGTGGGACTCGATATGCTTTCGTTAAAATATAACTGTTTTGTATTTGCTGTAGTTTGTTGATGTGTGTTTTTGATACATTTATCCATGTTATACATGCATATTCTACGACTGGTCTGTAAATTTTTAATGTTTTCTGGTGAAGCTCCTTGTTTGTTGCCAGTCAGGTTCCTAAGATAACTCTTGTAAAAGAGTCCCCTCTAGATATAACTGTGGTATTAACTCGCTCTTTTCCAAATTCTGAAGTGATATGTTTAGAATTTTGTTTTGTCCTGGTGCTTTGTTTTTCAAAAGTTTTATGTTTACTTGTACTTCTGCTACTGTTATGAGTCTGATAAATTGTTTTCTCGTGTAGTCGTGTTCCGCTTCTGTTGTTGTGTTACTGTCATTGGGCGGATTAGGTCGCCAGGATACCGGGCAAAATCCAGGTGGGCCAGTGGAGTAATAACCTGATTATTCTGTCCCAGTGCTACTGACTAACCTACTGTAATATCTTTATATATATTATACTGATTTCTGAGTATTTGTTCGGACCGTTTAGGCTCCCAATCCGCACCTGTGTTATATATATTACGGTTTTTTGTGATATAATATTTTACTATGTTTATGAAGTGGTTGTTCATGTTTGAGTCGTCTGGTGTTTTGAACGTTTTTTGGAGTTGTTCTTTAAAGGCGTGTGTTTTCTGTTTATTCGTGTATGCTAGTTTATTGATATGTTTAACTGTAGGATAGGTGGTGATAGTTGTTTACTTTGACTATGTAGCTTTTTTTTATATGGGACCAGAAATCTTTGGAATCTGTTTTTGAGTTTATTTGTGTACAGAAGGTGTCCCAGTTTTGTGATTTTGGTAGTTTAATGTCGTTTCTAATTTTGTTTCTGGGCGTATTTATGTGTGTTTTGTTTGTGGGTCACCGATTGTCACATACTCTGTTCTTAATCTTCTTCGTTCCTTCATTTTGTTGATTATGTCAGTGATCTGTTGCCATTTGGTTTGGGTATTGTTTACTGATACTTTTGTTATACATCTGTCAGCTGTTTTTATGAGGCTCTCTGATTTTACTGAACAGTACCGGTCTATATCCAAGCTGCTACTGTTGTGATGGATTCACGTTGGAGAAGCTCTGTTTAAATTTTTATGTGTGTTTTGTTTGATTCTGGTTTGGTGAGAGATAGATCGAAAGCACCTGCCACGTTTGTTTGAATTTCGCGCAAAGCTACTCGAGGGTTATCTGAGCTAGCCGTCCTAATTTATAAGTCTCAGACTTAACAACAACTCTTGGAATACTTTTTTTACAGACAAATAGTGGGATTAACAATAACATTATAACGTCCTAACGGTTGAAAGGGCGTGCGAGCATGTTCAGTGACAGGATTCGAATCTGTGAGTCTAGGAAATTCAAAGTCGAGCGTACTAACCATCAGGTCATGCCAGGCCTACAACTGACACAGGAAAATTTTTGTAAATGTTTCTTGTTGGCACCTGGAGCTAACAGCACATACGAAAAACAACCCATAGAAATCCCAGTCGTTGTTTGGTAGCTTATTTTATGTTTTAGAGTCGAAATAAAACCTAAAAAGTGCGAAATGAGGCATAACTTTCGGAATTAGACAGATACAGAACGTCAATTGGCCTGCATCATGTCGATGGTCTTCGTAATAGTTGTTTTGATTCACTCTTGACATTACACTCGCTTTTGTTTGTCATAGTCCACATGATTACCATTAGACAATTTTACTTGTAGTTCTAATGAAGCTCAAATATTAATATCCCGTAAAACCTAATTGATTTGTGGCACTATTTTTATTATCATAGGAACATCAGAAATTACAAAAACAGTTTACTTACCGACCTTTCTGATTATGTATGCATATTGTACTCCAATGGTTCTTAGCTCTTGGGTCGCGACCAAAAACTGGGTCGCCAAGGGTCTCCAGTGACTGTCCGAACTTTCCTTTGTAGTCCAAGAGTGGCTGCGCCAAAGGGGTCTATTTGAAGGCATGAGTCGCCGAGCTGGCCTCGCGACCAGAATTTGGGTCGCAGATAAAAAGGTTAAGAACCAGTGTTGTACTTTGTTAGCAAAATCATTTTAATCAGGTAGAGACATTTTTTTTTGCGAAGGTGTGACTTAATCGCATAATTAAATATTAATGTTCAATGTATATAGTAAAAATTCTTACCTGGTCACCATCTTGGGAAAGCCAACTATCGTTGCTCTATTGAAAAAGAAAGAAAGAAAAATATACAGTTAAACCGTTAGAAAAGTTCACTTTCCTCTCTGTATTAAATTGTAATGCTTACACAGCCTATGTATGGATTACACAACAGGTCGAATAGAAATAAAATTACTGTTGACTGAACCATTGTCAGCATAAGTTATGACATGGACCGTTTTCTTAATCCATATATATATTTATCTACGTTCCATGTTATTATTATTATTGTTATAAAGGTTAGTTTTCATTTCATTTTCTACCGTTTCAAACAAGGTTATTTATAACTAGATGTCCCCCAAGTGGCTCAGCGGCGGGTCTAGCCCTGTTTATTTAAAGTTCTAAATAGCATTTTACATTATATATCAAACACAGGAGGGAGGAAGAGGTCTAGATTGTATCTGATCCTCCCAGGTCTAGAAAGACCTAAAGCCCGATGCCGAAAGGAGCGAGGATTTCGATACCCATGGTGGGGCACAGCACGTACAGCCCATGATATAGCTTTGCGCTTAACAACTGGATGGTTGAGACAAACGTTATTTCAGTTAAAATATCTCGAAATATCTGGAATGAATTAAAATTCGAAAAAGTGGGAAATACTGTACTTCAGAGGAAATTTTTGGCACAGGAGGAATTCCCCCTTTACACCTCCAAAATTCAACTCTTAATAAAAAAAAAGTTATCATAAATCCAGCATGGTCACGTTATCCAATGGAGCTTTTCATGCACGTCTTTAGGCGTTAGGAACAGCTTCAAGCAGATTTCGTATACAAAAATAAATCTAAACCAATCCTAGTTACACCAATAAACTCATTTCTACTGTCACTAGAGTTACCAGACTTCTCCTTTCTTAGCTTTTTTTCTTCTTTTCTTTTTGGCCCGATCAGAAAAGGTAGCAGTATTAATCTGTCCCAGTTACTGTGCATATAAGTGTGAGTTTAATATGGACATTTTGTCATTGTACACGGCTCCTTTAAATTTTACTCGGGATATCACTTGACAAAGACAGATTACATAGTAAAGAGTTACATCCCTCCCTACTATATTTTATTCACCTAATCTGTTGTTGGGAAGCTGCTGGAATTGAGATTTGAAGAATTGCCTAGCGGCGAAAAATAAAACGAAGAAGCAACTTTTTTTTTAGTACGTTTAAAACGGCCTAGAAGTGTTTACTATTTATCTTTTTTTTCATTTGAAGTAGATAAGCTTTTAACAAATTTTGTTTATCTAATATTCTAAAATACGACGCGATAAACATTGAATTATTTAGCAAATGATATTCAGAGCTGTTACAATGCCACTCCGTATGGAAAAGGCCCGGCATGGCAAGGTGATTAGGGCGCTCGGCTCGCAATCTGCAGGTCGCTGATTCCAATCCCCGTCCCACCAGACATGCTCGTCCCTTCATCCGTGGGAGCATTATAATATAACGATCAATGCCACTATTCGTTGGTAAAAAAGTAGCTCAAGAGTTGGCGGTGAGTGGCTAGCTGCCTTCCTTCTAGTCTTTCACTGCTAAGTTAGGAACGTATAGCGCAGATAGCCCTCGTATAGCTTTGCACGAAATTCAAAACAAAACCTTATAGGGGAAAAAAATGTCTCAGTTTTGCATGCACTCCAGTGGCTCAGCGGAAAGTCTGAAGACTTACAACGCTAAAAAACGAGGTTTCGATACCCGTGGTGTATAGCTTTGCTCTTAACAACAAACAAATCAGATAATCCTAACTGTCGCCCATGTTGTTTTACGTACGTAGATAACGCCTTCCTGTAGTTTCGGTTTGTTTGTTTGTTTTGAATTTTCGCGTGAAGCTACACGAGGGCTATCTGCGCTAGCCGTTCCTAATTTAGCAGTGAAAGACTAGAGGGAAGGCAGCTAGCCACTCACCGCCAACTGTTAGGCTACTCTTTTACCAACGAATAGTGCGATTAACCGTCACATTATTACGCCCCCACGGCTGAAAGGGCGAGCATGTTTGGTGGGACGGGGATTTGAACTCGCAATTTGCGAGTCGAGCTCCCTAACCACCTGGCCATACCGGGTCTATAGTTTCGGAAATAGTTGTCTAAACTCTGATTTTTTTTAAAGTTATCACGCATGCACGTCAGTTATTAAAATTACTATACAATTTTTTGGTATCAAATAAAGAACCATCACATGCCAAGTTGTGAACGTCGATCAATCTCCAGTCGCCTCGAGTTACAAAGAGTAATTACTTCGCAATTTTAAGAGCCTTAGGCTATGAACGTTGTGTTGACTAAAGCCATTCAAAATTGGATCCCATATTGATTCACAAAGGAATAAGCAGCGCACAATTAATCTGCGCCCCTTAAGCGTGCTTCAGCTTGCAGTTGGAGTGTACTAAACACATCATATACACGTATATTAAATAAATTGAAGAAATGAACTAAGTGCTGTAAACGAACACTGGCGTGATGAATAAAATACGGCCCTATCCATAGCCTTGAGGTGTTTATTTTTGCTCACGAAACTACAGAAACTATTTTCGAAGATCAACAAGTTCGTGTGCAATTATAACTACCCTTTTATTTAATCAGAGGGAAGTCACTTAACTGTTGATGCACGCGGGATGAAATGTACACTAGTAGTTGTTAGGCCTCATCTATTTGTCAGTTTGTGTATACATAAACAAGTTATTTAATAGGTTTCAGCGGAAACAACAGATAAGCATAGATGATAGACAATTTAGTCTTAAAAGTTTTTAATGACGTCAAAAATGGATTACATTTCAGGATCGTGAAGTAATAAGATTATTAAAAATCCCAAGTTGAAGACTTCGAAGCGTGCAGGCTCTGTTAATTTTACGACTCGAAATTCGTAAGGAGTTCTGATTTCATTACCCAGGTGTCGCTGTCTTCGTTTTAAGTTGTAGTTATTTATCTCTTCAACAATGTGGACATAAGAACATGGGATTAAAAGATAAGCATCATATTAGTAGCTTGAAATAAATTCAAACCAATTTTTAAATGGAAAGAACCTAACCTAAGATATTATACAAAAATCACAAATATCAACAAGAAATAACTCACAAAAGTATAATTCTATATTTTTCTGAAAAATATAGAAAGAACATTGCTGTTAGTTATTAAACACAAAGGGTCATCTGTGCTCTGCCCATCACGGGTATCGAAACCCGGTTTTTAGCCGTATAAGTTTACAGACCTGCCGCTGTGCCACTGTGGTGGGGTGGGGGTGGGCGCCTTTTTATTTTTTGGTGTCTAAACTAAGAACACGCAGTCAGCCCTTCAACAAACCTAACCAAAGTCAAAATTGTGTATAATATAAATTAATTCTAGTGAAGGAGAACAAGTATTTTATTGATACTGTTACGTCTCCGTTCGTTAGTTGATTTTCCGTAACTTCGTTCCCACGAAACTTTAGCGACACAAGTCCTTACTTAATAAAACTGGTTTATTCTTTCCGAATACAACTTTACGATACACTTAATTTCAACAGTCGCGCTATAATAAACGCTATATCTCACGTGGCCATCAATATTTTGTCCGC